TATATTAACCACTTCATGTCCAGGCCATTGTTCAGTTTTCAGCGCCGAGGTCCGTCACGCAACGCTGCGCCGACGTGAATTTTATACCATTTTTTGGGGGACGGATAGAGCTTTCTTTTGGGGGTATTTAATCACCACCTGGGGGGGGGCTTTTATTTTTTACTATATTCAGGAGAAATTACTGAAAATTTTGGGGAAAAAAAAGTTTTTTTTTACATTATGTTATAAAACAACTAATATTATCCATCATATTATTTTTTTGGGGTAAAATATAAAAGACGGGGTCACGTCGGGCAAATAGACACCGAACACGTCATGCTTAAAAATTGCGCGCACTCGCGAAATCGCACAAAACTACCGCACCCGAAATTGTCCATAGGCGACGCTTTGAAAGCTTTTACCGCTCATCAGTTTAGTGTTCTCAGTGATTGATGGCCCTACAATTATTGCTCTCACTGCGACATTCGCGGCGATATGTGACATGTGCGGCGTAATGGGCGCAATCGTCGTTTTTCGCAGGTATGCGCACCTGACGCATGTTTACATGCGTCAGACTTTAAAACAAAAAAAAAATTTATTCTTTTTTTATGTGTAACTTAAACATTTTTGGGGAGACTTTTATTTTTTTTTCCTATTTTTTTTTCCACTTAACTTTATTGCTATCACACAGGGGGCTAAGTAACCCCCCTATGCAGTGGCGTCACAAGGGGGGTGCGGCCCGCACCCGATGGCATACCTTACCCCGCAGGGTGACTGTCCCCTCCTCTCTCTGGCGGCGTCCATCACCAAGATGGCCGCCGGCAGGTATCAGAATACTGTCGCGCATGCGCGGTGACGTCCCGGCGGGGTGACTCTCGGACACCGCTCCGGGTGTCACCCAGCCTCGGGACGCCCCTGCCCCTATGTGATAGCAAAAGAAGTGACAGGTCCTCTTTATGGAGACATCAGGGGTCTCCAAGACTAGGACCCCCCTGAAGAAGCTGATGAAGCACAGATCTGCTCCATCAGCTTCTCTCCAGCATCTGAAGCCGGAGAGTGACACGAGAATGCGGAAGTGATGTCATATACAGCGGAGAGGGGACAGGAGGGAGATCGTGAACCGACCTCCCTCTGATCCCCTCTCAGAGAGCCACTATGCTGGTCCCGGGGCTCGCACCGGGCACAGCGGAGCCCGGGATCAGCGTGACAGCGGGACGGGGGCGCACATACCGGGACCCCATACAAGTGATCCCCCGGCTCTATAGCGCTTGTATGTGAACATGCACTGCTGCCGGTTTTTAAATTAGGTGTCACAAGTGGGCGGGACTAACAGGACCCCGCATCCAAGAAGCTCCCGGCCGGCCGTGTATACACAACCGTGTATCTACTGTAAAGCCGACTGTCGGCTTTACAGTAGAAGCTATTCTGGCGACTCACCTGCCGCCAGCAAAACAAACGACAAACGCACTCAACAATTTGTCACCGGTTATACGGCGCGGTGCACACGAAATGGGCTTTGAACAGTAAAACAGTAGAAAGGCGTCATGGCACACTCACAAACCAGCATGTAAAACAACTTGTCTCACCACTAACTATGTTTTTCCCCCATAGTTCTCCTTAGGGTCACAGGAGGACACAAACTAGCGTCCTCCCCTCACCCTAAGCTCAGTGTATAGGGAGCTACAGCTCGCGGTATACTGAGACGCCGCAGCCGGGGCGG